CTGGGCAGGTCAGCTAGTGGTTTTCCAATAGTGATGGGAAAACATTCTTGTGCCGTTAACTGAACCCCTGGACCTCAAAACACTAATGAATCCAGCATGTCCTATTAGTGGGATGCTCATCCATGCCTTGGGCTTAACGATCTTTTAGAGAAATCAGATTATTTTTTTTACTTCTCTGAAGAAACTGATTGGGTAGGTAAGGAAACCCATTCAATGTGGTTGGTAGGATTTAAAGCCAAAAGTGAGGGCTCCTTGACAGAACTGAGAGTTGCCAAACTCAGGCCCATCCATGGCAATGCTCATGGCTAAGGGGCAGGTGAGAAATCCCGGCGATGAACAGATCAGGTGCACGTCAGTAACTGCGAGATGAGCACACAGCTGCTTTGCTCAGAGCACTGAGATCGCCAATGCTCCACCTCATTCCTACTGATCCAGTAGCTGAAGTTTTATTTTAGAAACATAATCAAGACCACACGTTACGCAAACATGAAAATGAACTTTTTGGCACGGGAATGTTAGATAAAATATACAGTGCTACAATTGTGCAAAATTAGCACAGAAGCCAATCTGAACAGCAAATATTTAATGTTAGCTTTAATGAAACAATGCACAATATTTTGAAAAATAATCATTGCAAAAGACCTCGCTCAGAAGCAGATGCCTGCCTGCTGGAAGCGCCCTGTCTACTGAGTCATGGCCTGCGGGCTGGGAAGGAGGGCCAGCGTGTGGGGCACTGTCCTGAGGGAAAGACCAAGGGGACGTCAAGACAATCATTGCCTTGGGGGTTGAAGCTTGAGCATGAGGTGTGCCCCTCGGCCAGTCTGATGCTCCTGGGCAGGGTCTTCCTCAGGCATGTCCTGGGGAATACCCATCCCCAGCTCCAGGCTAAAAATCCAGCCTGTTCTTTGCTGTCAGTTACACCCCGAGGCAAGAAGATGCCTCTGGAATGGAGTGCCTCACCGTGCATGGGCCCTGGTGCCTTGGACAAAGGAGCCAAGCGAAGCAATGAAGGAAGGATTCTGGAGGTGACTGGTGAGGAGGGTGCCTGCTGGGACCCCAGAGAACAGGGCCTGGTCTCCATGTCAGGGGCCAGCTGGCATCTCTGGGCTGTACCCCTATGTGAAGGTGAGCAGGTGGGGTAGGGGGTCTGGAACCCTGTGACCTGGTTCTCAGGTGGGCAAACTGTCCCATGCAGAACAAGAGAGGAAGCCACCAGCTTGCCCTGGCCGCAGAGCCCAGGGTCCGGGTGTTAAGAGATAAGCAGTGCAGCTTCTGATTGACTGGGCTGGTCTTCATTCCTGACTCTGGGCCCGAAATCTGGGGGTTAATGATGGGGCCTGCAGTGCCTGGTGCCTCTCAGCCTTGGCTACGGCTGTGTTATCAATCCTACGGCTGTCAACAGCTTTGATTGCCTGTTTTTCAAAGGCACAACACACAACCTGCCACTGTTGTAAAATTTCAGCGGTTATCAAATCCCAGCTTAATAAGCTCTGAGCGTGGAGCAGAGCCAAGCGCCGTAATCAGACCGATATCCACAAGCCCTGGCCCAGCTCCCTCTCCTCTCACTGCTCCTGCCTCTTGTGAGGTCTCACTAGACGGTGTGCGTCTTTACCACTCAATCAGGCTTTTGTACCCAAGAAGCCCTTGGACGTGCCTGGTTACTGGGTGTTAAAGGCGACCCCACGGGTACGACAAAGCCTCTTCCATGGAAGCCGCCGCCTCCCCCAGAGCCCGGTTGTGGAGAAACGCTGGGCTGTCTTCACAGCAGCCCCGCTCTCTGTGACGGCTCACAGGAACGAGGGCAGCGTGTGCCCATGAACAGGATTCTCAGGAGCGGGAGCCAGCTGTGTCAAGCCCAAGTTCCGGGCTGATGGCAGGAGGGGCCGGCTGAGGAGGCTCGCTTCTGGCAAGGTTTACACCAGCCTCGCCATCCCTTCCTGGGAGATCTGCTTTTCCCTTTAAAGGAGAAACATCTCTGCCCAGCCCTACTTCTCCTGGATTTTGTTCCATCAGGGGGAAAAGAGGGAAGAAACAAAGGAGATGACGGCAGAGACGGAGCCTGCTGACGTTCTGTCCTGTTCTCGCTACAACAGTCCGTGAGCAGCCCGCCTTTGAGAGGCCCTGGAACGGCCTCTTCCAGTACGGGTGTGCTCCCGGAGGTTCAAGGCCCTCTAGAGGGGCAGGCTCCCTTGGTTACTCTCTGAATGGCTGGGGCGGGGGCGGGGGGGGGGGGACTTCCTTTCTCAGGTGCCAACTTTGGAGGCACCAAAGAATCTTCTTATTGGATCAAGCAGACAGAAGTAACTCTGACTGGTTGTTTCCGCAGGGCTGTCTGTCCCTCCGAGGGGTCACAGGGGGCTGAGGGGTGTTTTGGAGGGAGGAGGACAGCTGGCACTCCGAACTGGATCCCTGTTGAAGGGCAGATGAGGACACGTCCTCGGGGGGTGACATTTTGTGCACCAGATCTCAGCCTGGACTTCCCTGGACCTGGGCATTTTGTTCTTTCTCCAGGAAGTCTGCCCCAGCACACCAGAGCAGGGCAGTATTCTGAGCAGCTGGATGGACTAAATCATTGCAGAACATTCTATGTGATTCCAAAGTTAAGGCTGTGAGGAGTTGCTGTAATGTGCATGTCACATGCATATCTGACATCAGAGGGGTGGTCTGTATGTTGAAGATGATTCCAGGGTTTCTGCGTGATCACAATAAAGGGAGTGCAAACAGCAAGCATCCCGGATGGCTCCCACGTGGCCCCCAGGAACACGTCTTTACAGTCCACACTTGGGGAGAGCAGGGCACATTTTCCATGAATAAATAAGCTTTAAAAAATGGGCAGAGTTTCTCCTTTTTAAATACAGGCCGAGTGCGTACTTGGTTCTCGCGGCTTAGCATCTGTCTGCTGTAGCTCTAGGTGCCGTTGTTTTTGCTTTGTTTTTTAACTCTGTGTGCAGAATGTCAAGGAAGGTTCCTGGTGAGGTGGTTGGAGAAGGCGAGGCCAGATTCACTCAGACATGTTTCAGATCAGGTGCCAGAAAAAGCTGGCTGAGCAGAACCCTCGGCCCCCCAGGGGGAACGCTGGAGGTGGGTGGTTCCATCCTGTATCTGATACAGACAGAAAGGAGATATCGCGGGTGCAGACTCTGCTGTGTGGACAGGCAGTGCTGGGACAGTCTGTCGGCTCATCCCAGACCTACTTCAAAACGACCGACGTGCGGTAAACCAAACTCAGGAGGCCGGACTTGGGCAGCCAGAGCTTTTAGTCCCTGATGACGGAGTTGAGAAGGGCTCTGTGTTCAAAGCCGCGAGCCACAGCGGCCCAGTCAGCACCGTGGGACTTGGAATTCAAATGGGGCGCATGTGTGGCCACGCTGCCTTTCTAGGACACAGCGTCTCTCAGGCCCTCTAAAGCCCTGAGCTGAGAGCAGGGCCCCTGCCACACACACTCCCACTTCCCTCCACGGAGAACAGCAGGCTCGTTCTGCTCACCTGAGCACACCTCACCTGGCGGAATGTTCCCTCAGAAGCTATTCATGCCGCCTGTCTCTGTGCAGAGCTGTGCGTCAATTATCTCAGTTTTACTTAACTGCCCTGAATACATTTCTTTCTGGCTAATAGAGCCACACACAGCATACACCTTCCAGAGTTTTCCTCTATCTAGGAAATGCTCAGTGTTTACCCAGGTCGCTCACCAAGTTTTAGGCTGAGTTGAAACAGTTCCAGGAGGAGACACAGGTAGCCTTCCACCGACCATCTTCCACACACGCTTACAGCATCAAATTCCCCTACATCTCTGTCTGCCTCAGGTCAAACTTATGCTCGCATAGTCTATTCCACAACCTCCCGTCTAGTTTCTTAGTATTTCCCCCAGAAAATGCGAACTCTTCATAACTATACAGAGCAGCTAAGGATGGCTCTTGCCCGGGGGGGTGTGGGTGTGGGTGGGGGTGGAGGGTGGGAGACAATTCTGTGATTCTGGATGCTGAAACTGGCTGAATGGCTCTAGTCCCACGAGGCGGTCTAATGTGGGAGTGTTGGAGCAGAAGCCTGGGGTGGCTGCCGTGTTGCCCACCTTCGTCCTGTTTCCGCCTGCCCCCGGGGCCTGCTCAGAGACGGAGGAACAGAGGGATCAATCTGGGGGAGCTCACAGGGTCCTGCTCCCAATGAGAGCATGACGGCAGACAGAGCCTGTACCGCAAACCCGGGTCTTTTGGGGACAATCATGATCTGTTCAGAGTGGACACTGTGTCCAAGTCTACGAGAGCCATGCTGAGCTCCATGGAGCCCTGGACTTAGGTCTAAAAGCCTGAGGGCCTACAGAACCTTCTGCAGTGGTTCCCGGAGCCGAGTCTCTCTCACAACCATGAGGCCAAGGCCACGGATTCCTGGACAGCCCAAGGCTCTCCAACACGGGTCGCCAGGTTGGCCCAGATGGCTGAGGTGCCACTCAGCCTGATAAGCTGCACATGGGCCTGGGTGACCTCAGGTTTCCTACGTGGACTGGTCCTTCCAGAAGCCAACCGTGGGGAGGCAGGGGGAAGTTCTCCAAGGACCATAGTTTGCATTACTCACAGCTCCTTCACGTGAAGGCCACTGGAATGTCTCCCGGGAGGCGTGACGCCACAGAGGTCCTGCTGGCCATGGGGGCCGTAAGTAGGGTATCTAATGACCACTGGTGGAGGGTAAAATGGAAAGGAACAGAGCCCACCCCCACCCCACATGTCCATTGGTTGTAGCAGGCAATTACATTAGAGAGAAAAAAAAAGGGTAACAGTCATTCTAATTCCCAGGTGGGAAAGAGTCAGGAGGTTGTTTCTGAATGAACCTTCTGACCAAGTGGAACACTGATTTGTGCACCTCACCCAGGGGCTCCGAGCCTGCCCTGGCGCCCACCCGCCTGCTGGGCCCTGGGCTGGAGGAAGGGGACACATGGCCCTTGCTGCCCAGGGCGGACCCTGGGAGACTAGTGTCCGAGTCTGTGCAGCGTGGAGCCACCCTGCTCTCTCAGACTGACCAGTTTAATGTGGGTGTTGTGTGACCGGCGGGGAAGGTGTGCTTTCTGGGGTTCACCAAGGGGACGTGGTTGTCACTCCAAGGTGTAAGGGGCCAGCTGCCGTGTCCAGGTCGGACACACAGTGGCCAGGGTGGAGGCAGCCAGTGCAGCACGCAGGGTCCGAGTCTGGGATTCTGTCGAGGTCAGAGGTCGCCGCTCTGGGGCTCCACGTTGCGCGTCTCCCTGGGGTGACTGCGGGACAGCTTGGGGAAGCGGGCAGCCGCTTTGGGCCGGCTGTTCTTGTCCAGAGGCTCTCCAGGAGGGGCAATGTCACTGTAAGACAGAGCAGGGAGAACCTGATTAAGTCAGGGCGTCCAGATGCAAATGACCACCGGCAGGGCAGCGAGCCGGGTGGGAGAACGGCAGGAGGGGCTCAGAGGGACAGCTGCTGCCCAGCTCTGACTGGTGAGTGCGGCATGGAGAAATGGGGCATCCACTGTCTTTCAAAAGCACCCGAGCATAGCCCTGCGTCCAAGCTAGCTTGTGGGGCCACCAGTGCTGGACCCGATTCTAAGGCTACAAAACCAGCCACGGTTTTCTTCCCATTTTCACCGATCTTCCAGCAAAGGCACATTTTAAAGTCAAAGAAAAAAAATGCTTTGGAGAACATTGCATTTAAGGTCATAGAGATGTGTGGCACAAACACAGGATAGGGATTTCTTCTGGGAGTCATCCCGAGAGAATCGTCAGGATGTATGCCACGTCTTGTTGTAAGGGCGTTCACCGCAGTGTTGTGTGAAAGACCCATAAACAGGAAACAACTTATGAGCCCAACATGGAGGGATTACTGATACTGATCACAAAACATGTGGGCAACAGGACAGCAGGGGCCATGAAAGACAGCGATGCAGGGGTGCATTACTGACTGGCGAAGACGTTCAGTTAGAGCACAGGTGAAAACACAGGAGAGAGGGTAGGAGCCCACCATGTATAGAAAAACCGGAAGGGTATGTTCATTCATACACACCCACATGGGCCAAGCACTGTTCTAGACACTGGGGACACAACAGTGAGCAAAACCAACTCTCCCGGGGCCTGTGGAGAGTCACAGTCCACAGGAGAGCTCAGGTTCCGGACATTCTAAAGATTCAGGTCACAAAGGCGGCCAGGGCTGCGCTGGGCAGCAAGCCTGAGGCAGTCGCTAGAAGGGTGGCAGGAGGTGCCCAAGAGAGGGGCGTGTGGGGCTGAGGGACAGCCTGGGTGAAGGGCACCCGCTGGAGGGCCCTCGGCAGGGGAATCCACCGTCCGGCTGCCTTTTAAATGAGCCCTGCCTGGCGCGTGCAGAGTGGACTGGAGGGGCCAGTGCTCCGGGCCCAGGGAGCGTGCACAGAAGCCTGGACTGTGGGTGTGACCGCAGAGGTGGTGAACTTTGTCTTATGGCTGCTTTAACAAAGCACCAAGCCTGTAGTGGCTTAATACAACACAAATGTACTGCCTTGCAGTTCTGGAGGTCAAAATGGGTCTACCAGGGCTAAAGTCAAGGTGTCAGCAGGACTGCTTACTCCGGGGGCCTCTAGGGGAGAGCCTGTTTGTCTTCCCAAGCTTCTAAAGGCCGCCTCGTTCCTTGGCTGTGGCCCCTTCCTCCATCTTCAAAGTCAGCAGTGTGGCATCTTAAATCTCTCTCTCCCTCTGACCTTCCTGCCTTCCTCTTATAAGGACCCTTGTGATCACACTGGGCCCACCTGGATCATCTCCCTTTCTTGAGATCCTTAACTTAATCACATCTGCAGAGTCCCCTTTGCCATGTAAGGGGACACATTCATAGGCGCCCGGGATTAGGGCATGGACATTTTTGGGGGTCCTTATTCTGTCTACTACACATTGAGATTTGAATATGAAGTAGAACCAACAAGACTTGGTAATTGAACAATAATTATCTCTAAATGGTGAGACTACAGCTGGTAGAAAATAGAAACGAGAGATAAGAAAAATTTCTACCTGGTAGTAAATGCTTTTAAAAGACAAATCTAATAAATATCTCTCTGGTAGAAAATGCTTTTAAAAGACAAACCTAACAAATGTTAAAGCTGGGTCTCATGTTCTGAATGTCGCTGTGGCGTCAGGTTCGGTGCTAGGGGCTGTGAGCCCTGAGCCCCACTGGACTCTGCAAAGGAAGACATAGCCCGTCTACAGATGGGCAGGGAGGCTCAGCGACCACGGCCACCCAGCACCTAAGTGGCAGACCCAGGCTTGTCCACAGCCAGCTGCCCCCAAGCCCAGCCCAGACGAGCCACGTTCAAAAAGAAATCCTCCCTCCAGAGGGTTCCTGGAAATAGCCCAATTCCTTCCTGCGTCTCAGGAGCAGTGCTGTTTACCATGATAGGATTTTCACGCCGTTGCAGGGACCGGGCCACTGGGCTGCTCAAGAAGATGCCCCTTGTTTCGAGTTCAGGGCGACATCTCAATCAGATAATAAAAGGAAAACATCCCTTTATTATTACCTCCTGCTTTGGCAGTCAGGGTGCTCTGCCCTCTGCATGGAGGGAGAGGAAACATTTGACCTTGAACAAAGCCGGAGCTGCTCCTGATCCCTTCTGCAGCCAGTCCCGCTTCGCCGCACGGACCTCCTTCCGAATGGTGTTTGGCCGCGGGCCCAAAGCAAACGTGTCCCTCTCTTCTTTCGAAACATCAGCATTACCAACAGCTTCTTTGTCCCTGAATCTCCCTTAGAGGATGGGTAGAAGCGGCTGGAAAGAATCTTTGCTCTCACTGCGCAGGTGGACTTGGATGTAAATGTCATTTTAAATCAACGCCCTCTCCAAGCCCCTCCCCTCACCCTGCTCAGGACGCAGGGTCCAGCCAGCCGCCCCTAAGGCTGTGGCTGCCGCCATCACTGCGTATGACACGCAAGGCCAGGATGACCAGAGGCTGTGGGGCCCTGGAGGTTGGTGGCTCTTAGAGGAGGGTCACAAGTCAGCAGGGCCAGGATGCGGCTACTTCCTTTTGTTGTTCATCAAACGGCACCTACCAGGCGGAGAGGCATGCGAGCACTGGGGGTTAGCGCAGGGGCTCCAAGCCAGGAGGCCCCGTTCAGTCCTGGTCCTGCCACCAATGGGCTGTGCCCCTTGCTGTCTCTGAGCCTCGTTTCCTCGTCTGTCATGTGGGGATGAAGATGAAATGCTGTAGTCAGGACTCAAGAGTTCACCCCATGGAAAGGCACTAACTAGCTGCATTTCTTTAGGCAAGTCCTCTTTGACCCTCAGCTTCTGGGATGGAATAAAGGCACAGTTGTTTTAAGCATTATATGGATAAGGTGCCTAGAACAACGCCTGGCTAGAAAAACCACTCAAAAAAACGTGAGCTACATCATGCTAGGCGCTGAGGGCATAGGGGTGAATGTGAGTTGGAGGAGTCCGCAGTCTTGTTGGGGAGTGGGCAGGGCAGACCAGTACAGGGAAGCACGGTGGATGCTTTGACCGGGGGAAACACCGGGTGTTCTGAGCAGGACACCAGGCTTGAGCATCAGGGTGGTCAGGGAGGGCTTCTTGGAGGAGGAGGAGACATGAAGGATGAGCAGGAGTAAGTGGGATAGTTGGCTGTGAGAGCTGAAGAACAGCAAGTGTGAAGGCAGAGGGCCGGTGGTGGGACTTGTGGGCTTGGAGCTCGGCAGATGGGACCCAGATCCTTCACCTTCCTGGAAAGAGGATTTACCTCAGGGGTGTAGACAGAAGTCACTGAGATGATTGTCAAATGCCCGTGCCTGGCCCCTGGGGACTCTGTGAGAACAGGTTGCAGTCGCTGAGGTGAGCGCAGGTGGAACACCGGGGGGCCGGTGACAGTCCATCAGAGTGGGAGCCGGCCTGGGCGTGCCAGGGGCAGGGACAGCTTCACCCTAAAGGCCACTGTGAGTAGTGACAATGACCTGAACCGCACTGGTGGTTGGGAGGACGTGCTGGGTGGGGCTGGGGCAGAGGCAGCTGCGATAATTCCTGTAAACACGGGGAGAGTAGGTGGTGGGGCCCCTGGAGGAGGAGGTCAGCAGAGGACTGGCTGAGTGGGGGCGTCTGTGTCAGGCCCAGCTGCAGCTGGTGGCTTCAGTAACTTGGACGCGTGAGTGGAGGGAAAGGCAGCCGGACAGAGAGGTCCGGGGTCTGCGCAGAGCTGCGCGGGAGTCACTGGCATCTGTGTAAGGCGGAACCACATCAAACTGCGATGTTTGCAGGTCAAAACCATCTTGTTTTCAGATACCTGCTGGCCATTTGCATGTAGTCTTCGGAGAATGTCTCTTCAAGTCTTTAGCCCATTTTTTAACAGAAGAAATGCAAATCGAAACCACAATGAGATGGCACTTCACACCTGTCAAGATGGCTAGTATCACAAAAACCAGAGACACCAAGTGCTGGTGAGGAAGTGAAGACGCAGAACCCTTGCACACTGTTGGTGGGAAAGTAAAATGCTACAGCCACGTGGAAAGCAGTATGAAGGTTCCTCAAAACTAGAACTACCATATGATCCAGCAATCCCACTGCTGGCTATTTATCCAAGAGAAATGAAATCAGAATCTAGAAGAGAGATCTGCAGAACTACTTCCAATAGATAATATGTGGAAATAACCTAAATCTTCAGGGATGGATAAAGAAAATATGGTAAATACATACAATGGAATCCTCTTCAGCCTTAAAAAAGAAGGAAATTCTGACATAAGTGACAACATGGATGAACGTGGAGGACATGATGCTAAGTGAATTAAACCAGTCACAGAAGGACAAATACTGTATGATTCCACTTACGTGAGGAATCTTAAAGTAGTCAAACTCAGAGAATCAAAGACTGGAGTGATGATTATTAGAGGCTGAGGGGAGGGCGAAGTGGGGAGTTACTAATTGACAGGCATGTTTCAGCTGAGTAAGTTCTAGAGCACTGCTGCACACTGTGCTTACAGTCAACAACACTGTATTATACACTTAAAATGTGTTAAGAGGACAGATCTCATGTTCAGTGTTCTTACTACAATAAAAAATTAAGGAGTATAACATTGGCAGTTTTGTACAGTTTAATAGCAGAATCTGCAGGGGTGGGATTGGGGGTATGTGGAAACTGGGGTGGATGGAGAGAGGGGCTGGGCCTGCTCTGACAGGGCAGGAGACCTGCTATGTTCCCTGGGTCCCTTCCCTCCAGGAGAGAGCTGGGGCCAAGGCCCTGCGCACCCCAGGGCTCCATGCGGGCAGTGTCCAGGGAAGCTGCAAGCCCTCACATCTACAAGGACGGCCTTAAACAGGGGCCACTAACTCTTCTTTAACCAAGGCTCACTTGAGCACCTGCTGAGCCGCAGC